TCGATATCTACATGAATATACAGAATTGAATTGGGAACTTGAGAGGAAGACGGGGAATTCAGCAGATCAGATTGGGGATCCTCCTGAAAGGGCTTATTTGTGGTGAGGTGCTTTTTTGTACCCTCGAAAGTGCTTTTGAAAATAATCTCTCTCTCTCTTTGTTTTTCTACTTGAAAATGAACCAGCAAGTCTTGCAAATTGCAATATGAGAGTCTTTCCTTAAAAGAATAAATGATTAACAAAAATATTTATATTACAAACGGTCCGGCGCCGTTTTGATTTTTCTTCATATTTTTTACTTTCTTATTTTATTTTTCTCTTTCCTTTTTTGCCATTGGTTGTTTTCTTAATTTTTGTGTTTCTATTTTATATGGTCAATTTCTTGATTTTATATATATTTTTTTCCTACCATGCCCCTTGCTTTTGCAAAAGACTCACTAATATCCAATCTAAGGATTGCAATTTAACTCGTCAAACTCTATTGCATATAACTCTAATTATAAAAATACAAAAAACCTTTAACCAAAATTATAATTAATACAACTAATCGCATTAGTTTCAGCCTTTAGAAAATGATGACCAGTCTCCTCATTAATATCCAACCTAAGGATTGCAATTTAACCCGTCAAACTCAATTCCCGTAGGTAATTGATCTAAACAGTTTGGTTTTGGGGATTAAATTTCGAACATTTTTTGTTTTAGATAATCGTTGGGCAAATTTTTTGATTTCAAGTTGTATTATGATTATTGATAGAATTGTTCGTTCTTCTCTGGAAAAAAAAAGAAAAAAAAATTGATTTATGTTTGGAAATCTAAATATTATGTCATAATTTTCCCTCCTAAAAGAAAAATCATGGAAAGCATATTTGTTTTTTTTTTTTGTTTTTTCTTTTTGGTCATAACATAGAAAGCATATTTGTTGGGTCAAAATAATCTGGTCGCATTTAATGAGTATGAATGTCTAACTAAAAAGAAGAATATGTTAACACAATGCTTTGAATTTGTCTTATATCCTAAAATGGAAAATGAGAAAAATAAAAATTATATGCTAAATTTTACATTTTTCCGTCTACACTTCTCATCTCGAACTCATTCATTACAATAACTAGTTTTTAGGGATACTTTGCTTATGGTATCTTAAATTCAATTACCGCTCTCTATTTACTTAGAAAACAATAATCTCAAAACAATTTTGGTACAAATATTTGTATAACTGTTGTTGTAGTATAATTACTCAGACAAACTTGATGAAAATCAATATAGTTAGAAAAACTTATCAAAATAAAAAAATGGGATTTTTGTGAGAGTAATTCGACAACAACATGACACGACTGCTCAGTCTGCTGTACACAAGTTTTTCTCTTTTAACTTTGAGGAAACAAAGTTAGATTAATTTCAACTTTGATAATTAAGAATGATTAGGCATTTTACCCATATGGGAAACCTTGGACTTTAGACAGAGTGGTCAAATTGCAAATAGGGGGAACATGTAGGCCCCAATGGACATAATCAATGGTGACAAAAAGATGTTGAAGAATCCACCAAAGTCCATAAAATCTTGACCCAAATCTTTAACATAAAAATGGTAGACAATATTGGACTGCCCACTAACGGCTCAAAATTTCAAACATAATTTGAATCCTCTAAAACCCAAGCCCTCACTAGGTTAAAATTACAAAACAGGCCTTACATAAAAAGCCCAAATATTTGATGGTGGGCTTGATCCAATACTTAAATTAGCTTCAAGATGGAAGAATTAATTGTGGCTAATTTAATTAGGATGTCGAATACATGCGATAATTTCACGTGCTTAAAGTTTATCTACTATCTTTGCGATAATTTCAACTGTCAAGGATTTTTCCTTTTGTACTAACTTTGGGAAGAGGTGTACAAATCCATGCAAGGAGCCGCCGTAATATCAAACACCGAACATTAGGCTTTTAGGGTTAACGTAACTAGTGATGATCTAGCCACTTAATACTACGTTTTTGTGATGTATTTTTTTTCATTTGTAAATGAGATGTTTTATGTATAAATCTTGTGAATGACGAATTTGATACCAAATTAGGCTACCCATTGTGTGTGGCTTCCGAACTCCATCTCCTCTTAATATAAAACTAGCATTTGCCTACAAACTTTATGTGTATGAACATATTTTTTTAGAAAATGAGAAGGAGAGAGAGAGAGAGAGAGAGAGAGAATGTGGGGGAGTGGGAGGTTTTTTTATTTTTTTATTTTTTATAGTAATAGAGATATTTTAACATCACTTGTAGATTAGACTTCAATAAAAAACAGTGAAATTTGAACATGTGAAATTACATTATTGCTCATCATTTTTTTTGTGTGATAGAAGACTAATTTGTCTTTCACCCTCTTTTGGTTGACGAATAATGTTTTATTAATTAGTAGAGATATATCGTTCTATTTAAAAAAAAAAAAAAAAAAAAAAAAACTAATGATGATCTATGTCAAAATCGTAAGATTTTCAAAATCTTTACGTGTGGCCAATTGATTCTCAGTTGAACATTCAATTTTAACATGCATCTATATCGAAATTCTAAATCTTCGAATCTTTATGTGTTGTCAATTAATTTTTTGTTGAACGTTGAATTTTAACATGCATGACGGCTAATAGTATAAAAATTAAATCACACGTGTCAGACTGAAGAGATCCTTCACATGTATGGAGGCTTCGTATTGAGGATGGAAGACTTGTATTTAGTGCTTTTTCCATCTTAAATATCTTCTTCACTTATTTTTCAATCATTTTAAGTTAGACACTTGTTAAAGTTTTAAAGATGGTAGTGCCTCATGACTGATTGACATTGATATTAAATCAAATTAACAGGTCGTAAATTTTCATATCTTATACAAAAAGTATCAATAAATAAAACTATCCATTATATAACACTACTACATAAAAGTGTTTTTTTGAGGAAATTTCAGTCGTCGCACAAAGAGAAATTTTGTCAAGCTACAGTTTGTGACAAAGGTATTTATCGTGCTAAGATTTAAGGGATGAAGCTCTTTCGTCTCAAGAACTTAAAGGAGACGACAATGTTCCATCGCGTTAAGGTTCTGGGGAAGACATCTCTTTGTTACAAAATTCTTTTTGCAACGAAATTTATTCTATCATATTTGGCTTTCAGGTATTTTTTTAGTTGTTTTTATTTATAAACGTTTCATCGCACATAATTTTAAGTGATGGATCATGTACTAGCGTTGAATTTTGGGAGGCAACTTCATTTCGTCGGACAAAACTTTTTTTTAATTATTTTTTTTATTTCAACAATACTCACAATCTAACATAAAAGAACAAAGATTAGCATTTGGAATGGTTAGATTCCCTTCCGTCGTAACAAAATAAAAGTAAACAGCCAAATATTTAGCTCATCGATCTGTGCATGGTTTAGGTTCCAAGGTAACATGTTACATTTCCATGCTTTAGTTTTCCAATATTTGCAGCCTTTTGCATGGTTCAAACTTCAAACCTTCCAACGTAACATGTTACCACAATAATTTATTGATTTTAATGCATGGTTTAAGCTTTGCTATGCAAAACGCAGAGTACTTTCAGGTTCGCCGGAGGTAATTAAATAGTAAAAGTAAAACACGTGATTTCATTTGCATGGCACGTTTACAAAGGACGTATACGATGCTTTTTGCATGGCAATTTAATTGACCGAGGCTGTTCTTCCTCTAATCACATATTCGATTGTGGCTTACAAGAAATCATGATCTTATAATTGCCTTCTAAAGCCAGATAAGGGGCCACCCGCGCCCCAACTTTTCTCTACTTTTCATGGAAAAAACAAGATAAAAAGGAAAAATAAAGGGAGAAGAAGGAAAAGTAGGGAAGAAAAAGAGAGAACCAAGATAGATTTGATTTTCCTAGAAACCAAACAAACCAAAGCGAAGCTCGAGGTTTGGTAAGTAAAAACCAAATCGATTGGGATAAAAAGTGGAAGCTTTTATAATGCATGAAAAGAGAATCTGATGCCCTAACTACACGCCTAATTAGCAACACTTTTTTCTTTCATCTCTTTTTTGTTGAAACGAAAGAGGAGTGGCACTTTGGACAAGTTGAAGTCAAATCATCTCCAGCTGAACATCAAGGACCAGTTAAGATTATCCTAGATAGGACATAATTATATTGGATTAAACTGAATGGTTCAATATAATTATTTTAATTCAGCTTGTGCATTAGGGTTTAAGGTTTTAAACTTCAAAAAGGAGCAAAGACAAATTTAAAGCAAAAGAGAAGAAAAGGAGATGGGCTTATCACAGAGAGATTCTTAGTTATCTTTGATTTTGTTTATGTGATGAGAGAGATAAACACAATCAAATATATATAACTGGTTTTAAGGTAAAATCTCACATTATCATGATATTTGTGATAATCACATACAAAAAGCGTCAATGTCATGAATAATTGAGTTAACCACAATAATATCGTACATAATCGTTCACAATAAAGATGTATATTTGATTATTAGATAGATTCTCTCCTATCGTGGCACAATAAACACAAGTACGACATCAATGTCATGGATAATTGAGTGAACCAAAGTGATGATCCTGGCCACACTTCAATATAGGAGCATGATGGTCATATCATTGACTAGTTAATAACACTTCCATCCATTTCTTTTGGCAGTATTTTCATCCAATTATTTTGGTTTTAAGGCAGAATCTCACATTATCACAACATTCATGATAAACACATAACGAAAGCGTCAACGTCATGAATAATTGAGTTAACCACAATGAAATCGTATATATAATAAAGATGTATTTTTTATTATTGGACAAACTCTCTCCTTACCGTGGCACGGTAAACACAAGTACGACATCAGTGTTATGGATAATTGAATAAACCAAAGTGATGATCCTGGCCACATTTCAATATACGAGCATGATGGTCATATCATTGAATAGTTGATAATACTTCCAGCCATGTCTTTTGGCAATATTTTCATCTAGAAAGAAACAAATAGAAAGATGACCAAAATTTTTTGTTCAAAACTATTTCTTTACATTAAATTGCTCCAACAGATTCTTTGTCGATTGTCGATTGACAACAAGGGTGCTGACCCACCAGTAGAAACTAATCAAGCCAATAAGAAAAAAGAAAAATAGATGACAACAAAATTACATTGGACTGAACCATCGACAATGACTATTTATTCAACTAAAGCTAGGGTTGAGGAACCCTCGAGAAGATTTTCTGTCCAGGAGCAAGGATGGCCATTGGATCGAAGCACGTCTTCCGCTCCACGAATCTTGACCATTGATCACTTCCGAAATGTCGCTTCCAATCCTCCTGGGATCGATAGTGAGGCAGATACAGCTTGAAATCGAACCCTTTTCTGGTGCAGTATTGTATTATTTCTTGGTTTTGGGCCACCAGATTCTCGGCGGAGGGGCCTTTTGGGTATGGTGGAGTGAAGCGTAGCAATGCCACTATGTAGAAGATTTCGCTTTCTGGTAGCACCACAGATGTACGAGTATCCCACCTGTGCACACGTAATTAAGTGTTAATTAATAATTAATCAAATCTAGTCGCATAATTCTACCAAACAAGAGGGTATTATTGTAAATTTGAAAAGTGGAGCATCAAATATAATTCCATTTGGAGAAATACCAAATTCTTTGTCGTTTCTGAAATGCCAAAAGATTTCTGGAATATAAAATATAATTTTCCATAAAAGTTAAAAAAAACTCTGCGCATATGACCAACATGCCCTTGGCAGGTCCTTCCAGCACTTCCTGTCTGGCTAAAAATACGACAGCGCCAGCTTAAGTTTACTGAACTACCCTTTTTCATCCTACTTCGGGTGGGGGCCACTGTATCTTTGTCCGGCCAGGCCTAGCCTTTCCTACGTTTGCTTATACGCTGCCCAGCCCTCCACATGACGTATATGGTAACTTCGAACACATGAGGGTCCGGATTTCCTACGGGTCCGGTGCAGAGTTCAAATGGTACAACCGTCATCAATCCTCTGATGGGGTCCCACTTGATGACCTTATAAGTAGAAAATATTGAGTGGATTGTTCACCATCATTTATGTGATGTATGTTTCCCATCCTATTTATCATCGTTAGATAAGTTTGAATTTTAAGATTTATGTTTATCCACTATATGAATATCGAAATTCAAACTCATTTAATAATGATAAATATGATGATGAGCAAAAATGCTTCCAGAAAATATTTGACCTAATCTTAACCACCATCCGATTTAAAATGTTTCACCCTGAGTCAGCGTATCTAATTCGGAAAAAGATGTCCATAATCTGTACCATCTTTTACAAGCACAAAATTAGGCATAAAATGTCAACATTACATAGCATGCAAATTAAGCATAAATCTAGCAAAGTATAGAAAGGTGCGAATATCACATACTTTTGATTGGTGTATACCAAAGTTAATGTGATCATCGAGGTAAGAAAAGTAAGAGAATGTATGACCATCTGATGTTAACACAGCTCGAAAAAGCATGTGTGTAAGTTTCAAATTAAGATTTAAAGTGATAAGGGAAGGTGGTACCCAAGACTTATTGATTGACACGTGTAGAGTTAAAGGTCAACAAAGAAACGCCGTCATATCAAAATAATGAAGAAAAAATTTTGGTAGGACAATCTTATCACTTGAATGTTCAAACACTCTAACGAAAGAACAACCCCTTTCGTAAATGGATACGTCCAAGCTTAAACAGGTGTAACGCAGCATGCGCATGACATAACCCATTATGAAATTGACCTAATTAGCTTGATTTGGTTGTCCTACCGAATATTTTCTCTGCTAAAAATTGCAATGATCATAAATACAGAAGGGTGACGCGGAGGGAAGGGAAAAACTTACTTGCTTCGCCGGAGAGGGTAGACAAGCATGGGCCCTCCGATCCCATCCTTGAGGATCTTCTTAAACACCGTCCGATCGAAATCAGCAATATCTGATTTCGACACAAACATATTCAACCAAGGGTGAGGAGCGTCCCATATTCCATTCGCCTTGGCGTGTTCCTCTGCGCGCTTCACACGCAATAAAAACTCGACGTAGCTGAGGTCCAGTTGGAACTTCAGCTCCTCAACGAATCCGAGGCCTCCAAGCAATCCGTTCACGCCCTGCCAAAAAAATTCAGCAAATAACGTCAAAGCGAGGGCAATTGCGTCATTGCGCACCGCACAAGGACATACATTCATTATCTACAGATTTCAGAAAAGGATGGCTTTTTGGCCATTTGCGGAACTGCGGGGACCATGCCGCGAGCAAAATCTCAATCATCGACGCCCACTGGTGCATTTTAATTACCATATTACCCCCGAATGAGTGTCATTTGAGTAATTAAGAGCAACATCAAGGGCCTTTGTGATCAGCATCATGTCAGAAAATCCAAGGGAAGATAGTAAGATACACTACTGTCGTATTGTCAGTCTCACGTTGAACCAAACGACGAACGAAAAAATCTTCCTAGAAAAAATGACTGATTATAATTTTTTTTTCAAATTTAGAACTTAGAGAAAAAATATGATGCCGTGGATCCCCCGGTGAATGGATTCTCAAATATCAACGTCTAACTTATTACGGTTTGGATTCAAATCGTTCTTATTTTTTATTATAAGTTTCTAACAGAAGGTAGAAAAAAGAAATAGAGTGATGATGGCGAACGGGAACAAAGCCGTCCTTCCATCGACAAGCTTTGTACACGTGGGAGACTGAGTACACAGAAAAAGGGGGGCTGTTTTGACTTTTTCACTGCCCCGGCTGGACGGTTTTGCGCTGGACTTCCAAAGTGGGTCAAAATCCTCGCGGCTACGGGCCCACTTAGGAACCACCTAGGTCAAAACTCGGTCATCACCGCATGGACCCCACAGATAAAACTGTACTTTCGTGGGACCCCCAAAACCACGCCCATGACGCAAACTACAATTTTTTATTTTGGCAGTAGACGCAAACTACGATTAAGCTCTATCTGATCAAATCGTATTGCCAGAAATTGGGGGTGCAAAGTTGTTATTCTACAGCAAGAAGCAGGAGGTAATTGTTTACCGTATCGACAGTTGAGGGGCGGTCGGTGTTGCGGTAGTGATGAGCGAGTTCGAGGCAGTAGAGGATTGGCCCGGACGTTGGGGGGAGATGGCCCGGGTCGAATGTCTCCTGCGGATCCAGCGGCACCGAGGGACGCCCGTCCGCCGGGTTGTTGCTGTTGACGAATGCGAAGCCTTCCACGTAGTCAAACGAGTCGCCGCCGTCGTCGTGCCGAGTCACCAGCAACTCGGCGTCCCGAGTGAAGTCGTCAAACTCGGTGTACACCAACCTTATCCATCTCACCTAATCACATAATTAATTAATCTTAATTACGCTCCGTATTGTTTAATGCAGCCATTTTTTTAATTAATTTGGGAAAAAAATTAAAAATATACCGACCATGTCCGGGGAAGGTTGCAGAAGAACCCTAGCTCTGGTGATGATACCGAACTGACCGAGTCCGCCGAGTGCGCCGAAAAACAGCTCCGAGTTTTCCGTTTCGGAGCAGTTAAAAATTTCTCCCTTCCCCGTAACGACTTCTAACTCCGTAACGTTCGACGTTTGTGGACCGTAACGGAAAGCCTGACCGCTGACGCCCGCGTTGGACAACGTCCCGCCCACCGTTAAGCTCAAGTAATCAGTCCACGACCGCGGCGTCATCCGGTACTCGAAAACGCACCGTTTCAGCACGTCTTCCCATAATGCCCCTCCCGACACGTCAGCGTATACGGAACCGTCGCTGGCCCTCACAACCCGGAAATGCTCCGCCAACGAACGCATGTCCAGGACGAGGCCTCGATCCGCCATCGCCTGGCCGTTGATCGAGTGGCCGTTCCCCCGCGCCGCCACCGTCAGATTCGAGGACCTCGCCGCCGCCTTCACCACCCTCGCCACGTCGTCGGCGCCGGCCGGCCTGATGAAAGCCAGCGGCGGGAACGACTTCATTCCGCCGAAGTCTCTGCCGGCTTCGCCGCCAAAGTCGGCGACGGTGCCCTGGAGGCCCAGCGCCTTGGAGAGGCTCGAAACGCCGTCGTCAGGCCTCGATTCGGAGACGAAGCACTCCAGGTAAGCTATCATCTTTGCCGGAAAAATAACAGAAACAGAATATCTGAGACGGTTAGGCTTCGATTCCCCCCTCTATCTCTCTCTCTAGAAAGCTTCGTTTATCCCGTGTCAGATAGTAGAGAGAGAGAGAGCAGTAGTAGAGCAGTGCAGTAGTCTTTGCTTGCTTTGCTCTGTGTGGTGGTTACGGTTTGGAGTTTACGCTTTAAATAGCGGCTGATACTCGTGTCACCCCTCCTGAGGAATTAAAAATGATTTATTAATTAATATTTTTATTAAATAATTAAGTGAATAATAAAATTAATGACGTCATGAGGGATAGGTTTAACATCCAGTTTGACGTTGTGATCCAATCGACATGCTCTGTCTGCCACTTTCCACATAATATATATAAAATAAAAAATAAAAAAAGAATTTAGCTTTTGGAATATTTGTTTTGTTGGAAGCTTGTAGTGCGTGATTACATGGTTAAGTGGTTATTAGTGGAAATCCTCTTTCAAATGCCTTGTTTTGTTGTACCACTTGGCCTTGAGGAAGTAAGTTTAGGGTAATTAATTGTTGATTAAGAATTTAAGATTGACGTTATGATGACACATCGGATTAAAGTTTTGACGGAAAAGTTGAGGGATTTTTTCGCTTAATTTTACTCGTCTCCTTGATGATACATTAAGCATGTATTCGAGAGATTGTTTAAAGTTTCTTGAACACGGAGCACAGAGGCGGATGAAAATAGTGATTGGTGGTATTGGGATTATTTAGAGTTCGGAAAATTAACATTGGAACCTTTTAAGGTTTAAATCTATCCACTTATATAATGATATATGTCGTATACATTCATATTCCGAACACACTGAAAAATCGGTTGTCTATCTTCTAGTAAGATGCTTGTGGCGGAAAAAACTTTACGTCTCCGTTCGTAGTTGTTGGTTTTCTTTTTCAACAAATTTTTGTCCTCCTATTTGCTTTCCAAAAAATAAAAAAGAATTTGGTAAGAGAAAATTCTGGTTTGTATCGCTACCTACAAAAATTCCGGCTGCAAAATTAATGAGAGGGTTGTTGTTATTTAATGATGCATGCATGTCACATGCAAGTTTTAATTATTCGTCTATTTTGGACGGCTAGTTATTATTACTTTAGTTTACACGATGGTTGAACGTGTTTTCGATTTTTGACAGGAAAAATTTATGAATTTAAATTCGAAAATTCAAAACCTAAACATTTTTGAAAATTTGAAATAGAAATTGGAATGCATTTAGCAATTCCAATAATTCCAAATTTTTGGTCCAACTTTCTTCAAAGTGTTCCAAACTTATTTTGGAAAAGAAAATCCAAGATATTCTGATTTCTTATTGTTATTACTCAAATTATGTAATTTGTTACTATCTTTTATATTTTATTGCTAGTTTCGAATATATTTTGTTCATTGATTTTATATAAAACATACTTTTTTTTAACAAACAATATTATTTATATTAAGGGGGAGAGCGCGGAGTTTTAACAAACGATATTAAATATACTACAACGTGGGTTTAGTCTCACAATGGGCTAGCAATAATATGGTTGAAATTCGTATTTAGTGAGAATCGAACCTAAACATACTTATATACAATTATATATTTAACATGGATAGCCATACTAGTGTTCCACAAATTATTTGAATATACACTAAAGATATACCAAATATTTAGAAAAAAACAATAAATTACATGTACAAAAAAAATTAAGAGTATTCAAAAACTTGCTAACTGTATTCAAATTATGTTATGAAATTTCCAAGAAAACTCCAATTCAAAAAATTTACGAAAATTCTGAAAATTGTGTTCCGATCTCCGATTTTGAAGTTTCGAATCAAAAATTAAAAATGTGGTTTCCGATCCAATCCTTCTGAAAAACAGCCCTAGTTGTAGCCGTAGAAAACAAGCATAATGAACAATCATCTTTGATACGTACAAACTTTCTATTTTTTTGGTCTGAAAAACGACACTCATATGTGACATCCAAGGATGAAAAGGAAAAATGGTTTAATGTTTCTTTTTTATTTTTTTATTATTATTTTTTTTAGAATGTGTAAAAATTGTATGGTTACATAACAATATATATATATATATATATATATATATATATATATGAAAAAAGAGTAAGGAATCGGAAAACTTAGAAAAAGGGGAAATAGGAGGAGAATCGGATCAACTAGGATCATCTCGAGTTGATTTATAATTTTCAGGTATTGTATTACAAATCTTAAGGAAAATCATTATTAAGCACAAGGACATGATTGTAGGACAATTAGCTATAATTAATAATCAATTTTTAACATTTAGTTGCACAAATGATCATTTTTTTACTATGTCGTCACTATATTGTTGTTGGGTTGTCGTTGTCTATTGTTGTCGATATATGATCTATATGTGTCGTCGTTTGTAAAAAGTGATCATTTCTGCAACCAACCAAATTAATGTCAAAAACTGATCGTTTCGGCTAATTGTCCTTGATTATAATATTCATATTTTAGTAGACAGGCATAAAACTCAAAAATCAAAATGATTTAAAGATACAATTGTTCAAATTCTTATTCAATGATAACACAATTGGCGTTCGATATGTGAGGCATTTTCCGCAGTTTTTCAGTTTATTTAGTTAGTGGAAATAATTTATTTATCTAAGGTTGCAGCCAAAATGTCAACTTTTCTCTTATTTAATTAACGTAAGACTCTATTTTTAATTAACTTAAGAATCTATTATTTTTGAAATTAAGACTCTATTACTATGCGAAAGGAGAACAGAAAGTCTGACTTGGTTCTATATCTAGGACTCTAGGCAGATAGTAAAGACATTTGATGAGTTCAAGTCCATGAGCCAATATTATATTAACCTAACTAATTAAGCATTTGCTAATCATATTTAATTGCTTAATTAATGTATTTTTTTATTCAATTGTTGACATTCGATATTTATACACATATATATTCCAATATAGTTAACAAAAGCAGCATGCCTACCTTAATGCTTGTACACTTCGACGGCTTTTTTTATTTATTTATTTTTGTTTAAAGAAAGTTTAGTGGAGGTGAGGCTACTCTACATCAGAGGCAGGGAATGCTACAAGTTTTTTTTAGGACTTACCGATGGGGGTATAATCTTTCTTTTTTTGTTTTTTACAAATCACTTACCAAGAGAGATTGCAGGCGACGGGACTTGAACATAAATCTTGGTCCAGCAAAGTAAACAATCCATACCAACTCAAAAAACCCTGATCAGCTGCACTTTGACGACTTTGGCTATAACCTAACTATTTTATGACGAAGTAGTAGTTGTCGAACGAAGATTTTATTACGTGAGTTTCATTTGTTGGTTAATTAATAATAAACAAAAAATAAGACTAATTGATCAACCTGAAAAAATAAGTGTAGATGAAATGGTATTTCAAATGACTAAGTAATTAAAATAGAAGAAAGATTTATTTATTTGTGTTGGAATAATAGAAGAAATATTTAGGTTTTTAGAGGGGGTAATGCTAGGGAGACTAAATGTGTAAACTAAATTTTGGAAACTAAATGATATGGAAATTGATGATTAGTTTATTACTTAAGTGTTGATAAACGTATTCATTCCTATTGGTGACACATCATTTAGTTTGCAAATTTAATTTCTAAATTTAGTCACCCTAGCATTACCCTTTTAGAGGCGGGGCTCCATGTAGACTTGCCATGGTCCAACTTCCACATGGCTTCTTGTAATTGGCTCACAAAAGTTTAAATTTTATTATGGTTATACCAGAAAATAGTTAATATATGAGTTATTAGCCAGCTAAGAATTTTTTAAACTAGCTCGTGACTTGTTAGAGGAGATTTCAAGTTCGGCTCATACACATGTGAAAATAATATGTATTGTTAGTGAACTCGATACTTAGTTGTGGTGAACTCTTGTCGTGTGTAAAATAAAATCAAACTCTTTAGCCTTTTTTTTGTTTTTATAACAAAAGCACCATTCGAATCTCATAATCACCAATTGAACGTATTTTTCAGAAAGAAGGAAAAAAAAAGAGGCTGAATATGAAACAAATGCTATATGAATATGTTGTGACCAGGCAATATAAAAAAAAATGTTAATTAAGTCAACAGAGCTTATGTTATAATTCCAATATTCTATAGTTTGAATATTTTATTGGGAATCAATGGTGGATCTAGAAGTTCAAAAAAATTTCAATTGTTTTTATTGAGGAATTTTGTTGAGGCATTTCGTTATCTTTCGAATTCTATCGACAGTTTCCGTGGTATGATGTAAAGCCCTACTTACCAAGGCGTGCTGCCAAGGCTTGTCCCAATGGCTGTTGAGCATCACTTGTCAATGCGTGTCAAATTCTGCCTAAGAGGCATTTCATTGAACTGTTTGTTTGACATGCTCAGGTCCCATACCCGATGGCCATAGGCTCCTCCTGCAACCTTTTTCTTATATTTTCCAACTTCCGTAGGGTCCTGGGACCAGGAGGACCCCATGGATTCGCCATTGGCTACAATATACATATTCTACCACAATACTACTAGACTACTTGTCGTGATTTATGTATAATTAATTGTTTATGAACCTACTTTTTCTCTGCTTTTAATTTGGCATAAGAAGCAATGCTTGTAACAAAATCACAGGCCGGACGGTACGGAGTCGTTGAGATATGTAGTTGGGCATGCGCAGTCAGTACATTGTACCCGTAATAACCGATTATATGCTATGTTCATGCTGCTGAAACATTAAAAGTCAATTTGACAAAAAAACAAAAAAAAAAAAAGACAGTAAAAGTCAAAACCCTAATTACCAAAAGTCAACCAAATTAAGAAATAGTGAAGTATACTAGACTGTTTATCGCGCGATAATGATACTTGAACTGAAGTGCAGTAGACTAATTAGAAGCAAATTAATCCTTCTAATTAAACTAAACTTTGCTAAAACATGCGGTATTAGTGGAGTTGGGGAAAGGAACCTCGCCGGATCTTTTCCTAATGATCATGTGATCTTACCCATTCATCGTATATCATGCGGTCAAAAATCATTTCAAAATTTAAAATTTAAAATTAAATATGAATAGTACCTAACAAAAGCTGACCGCACGATATATAATGAACGGATGAGACCACTGGATCCCTAGGAAAGGGATCCGGCAAGAATCCTTTTACATCCCA